CGCTATAGTCTAATAGAAAAGGATTCTGCACCACTTCTAGGTCATGTATGATAAAAGTTCTCTGAATAAAATCAAAATCAATACCTAGCAAAAACTCTGAATACAGGTGAAAGGGAATTAACAGCCATTTCCTCACATGAATAATTCTTTCCTCCTATAATCTGTAATGGACATACTGACATATACTATTCTCAGGACTCAGATACTACCATATACTATTCTAGCGCTTTGAATCATGGAACAGCATAAACTCTGTATCATGGAAAGTAACTGTGTGGCTTTTTTCAGGTAATATTATATAATCCATCCAACCTCAATACTTTAATCAAACTGATCAAAGTTCACTGACAAATGGTATCCTGGGCTCCATCAGAAGAGGGGTGGCCAGCAGGGAGAGGGAGGTGATTGTCCCCCTCTACTCTGCTCTTGTGAGGCCCCATCTGGAATACTGCGTCCAAGTGTGGAGCCCCCAATAAAAAAAGACAGGGAGCTGTTGGAGAGGGTCCAGAGGAGGGCCACAAAGATGATCAGGGGACTGAAGCACCTCCCCTATGAAGACAGGCTGAGGCAGGTGGGCTTGTTCAGCCTGGAGAAAAGAAGGCTGTGGGGTGACCTCATTGCAGCATTTCAATACCTAAAGGGAGCCTACAAAGAGGAGGGGAATCAACCCTTTGAAAGGGAAGATAACTGCAGGACAAGGGGATATGGTTTTAAGTTAAGGATGGGGAGATTTAGATTGGACGTCAGGGGAAAATTCTTTACAGAGAGAGTGGTGAGGTACTGGAACAGGCTGCCCAAAGAGGTTGTGGAAGCCCTGTCCCTGGAGGTGTTCAAGACCAGATTGGATGGGGTCCTGGGCAGCCTGGTCTGTATTAACTGGTCTAGTATTAAATGGGAAGGTTGGTGGCCCTGCATGTGGGGTTGGAGATTCATGATTCTTGAGGTCCCTTCCAACCCTGGCCATTCTGTAATTCTGTGATTCTGTAACATTGAACTTTTGTATCAGATAAGCTTTTTATCTTCTCTTTAACTGGATCCTAACAAGATGATCCCTCTACTGATCCTCTCTCCTCTATAAAAAGATCATTTCTTGAAAAATGCTTGCCAGTGAGTGGACTGAACACCAGAAGTTAAGTTTTCAAATATTGAAGTGAATTAAAATCTCATCCAACAGCCTAATCAAGTAAAATATGCATACAGTCATAGCATATGCAGAAAGACTACATCTCATGTCCTGACAGAGGATTCAGCTGAGAAAGCTAGCACAGCCAAATGTTTCTGGCATTCTTACTGAAAATATTTTTGAAAACACTATGATCATTTGGTTTTTGGATGAATCATTGATGCAAAAACCCTCAAATTCCAGATGAATAAGATAGAAAACTGGTATCTAATTAGATTTGAAGTTTTGGATTTTCAGTGTGGTTATTTATTTATTTATTTTTCTGAAAAACAAATGTAGCATAAAATGTAAGTACTTTATTCATAATTCAGGAAAAGTGAAATACTGCCCAAACTTAACAATAGGTTGTTATTTGAAAATATTTCCTGAGTTAAACAGTAAGCTTGTAAATCACAGAATCACAGAATTGCCAGGGTTGGAAAGGACCTCAAGGATCATGAATCTCCAATCCCCCTGCCACACGCAGGGCCACCAACCTTCCCACCTAATGCTAGACCAGGCTGCCCAGAACCCCATCCAATCTGGTCTTGAAAACCTCCAGGGATGGGGCATCCACAACCTCTTTGGGCAGCCTGTTCCATTACCTCACCACTCTCTCTGTAAAGAATTTCCCCCTGACGTCCAACCTAAATCTCCCTTCCCTCAGCTTAAAACCATTTCCCCTTGTCCTGCTGTCACTCATCCTTTCAAAGGGTTGATTCCCCTCCTCTTTGTAGGCTCCCTTTAGGTACTGAAATGCTGCAATGAGGTCACCCCACAGCCTTCTTTTCTCCAGGCTGAACAAGCCCAGCTCCTTCAGCCTGTCCTCATAGGGGAGGTGCTCCAGTCCTCCAGGAAAACATTATGAACAGCTCCCACTAAAATAAGTGATTTGTCCAGCTGGTCCTGATCTATTGGACACACAAAGAATCCAGAAATCTGATTTAAAAAAAAAAAACAATCAGCAAGCATCATTATGTTTGATGTAAGGCATGTAAATGAAATATTAGAGTCTGTTCAGTATTAGAAAAAAAAAAGCCTCTTGCTCTGTGTATTTTACATACCAGCAAAACTCTCTCTGTAAGATAATCATTTCAGTTGAAAGCTTTTGTTTAAGAAAGGACTATGAGACTTCGATATAGTGCAAAATAGTCTGTTTCATTTTAAAATTAAAAAAAAAAAAAAGCAAAACAAAACAAAAACTCTAGAATTAGACTATTACATTTTATAAAACCATATCACAAAGGAAATAAAATCTTAAAAAATGAACTATACTCATTTAAACACACTTCAGGAAACAAAGGTTTAATGCATTAAAAAAAAAAAAGTACATTATGGGCACTTTAAATGTAGTCGTATTAGTTCTGAAGTGTTTATGTTGTCAGATAGAGACATGAGAAAGACAGTGATCAGCAATTTATTTTCAGAATTTATAAAATGTTGAGTAATTGAGTTGTTTTTTTAAATGCTGTAGAAAAAATACCCTGAAGGATAAACACCTCAGCTCTAGGAAAAGAAAATATTATGCACATAATCATGTTAGTAGAAAAGAGCAATTTATGTTCAAGCTTACTAAACTTGCAAAACCAGAAGAGATGATCTAAGGCAGGTTTAGAAGTCCTTTCTTATGTACATTCCACTTGCACTATTAATGAAAATATTTATCAAGCAAGGAATATTTATATATTATTAAAGAAAATATAATAAAGATCAATCACACATAAAGTAATGCAAGTTACTATTTGCTTTAAGCTACATATATGAATATTTTTCTGAATTAGGTTCATGAATCTAGATTTCTGTCTGTCCAAAGCAATGAGCACAATTAGGCAATCAGAATGATATGATTTTGCAATAATGATTACTTACATTATATCTGTTTATGTCTTTATGCAGTTGGAAATATGCAAAAATAACAAATGATGACTCTGGGCATGTAAGAAAATGAAAAGCCTATTAATCTTATCAGTCTAAAGCTGCAAGTTGAAATTCACAGACATAAGAGCTTCAATCTGTCATTATCATAGAATAGAATGTCCTCTGTCAGCAATCTGTGTGTATGCATGGAGCATAATATAGCCAGGAAAAGAATCCTTGAATGAACAATCTGAAGGTAAAGATATAATCTATTAGTTTGGAGTGAAACAAGTACTTGGGGATTACTCAGTTTTCCCAGTGAAAACAAAACAAAACAAAGCAAAACAAAACAAAGCAAAACCAACAAACAAACAAAACCCACCAGAACAATTTTGTCATAACACTGTAATGCTAAGTATATAAATGTATGGAAAATACTGTAAATGTATGTACAATAAAATTATAATTATAATTATAATTATGTTTTGTATTTGTATTGTAAATTAAAGAGTCATCATCAAGGGACTGAAGCAGGTAATTAAACTGACTCATCTGCTTTCATCAAATTTGTAAAAGTACATAGTAAGTCATGCAGAAACATGAAGTTTGGGTATTCATTGTATTACATGGAAATTGTTATAGAGGTATTTCTTACAAAGACATATGTGGTACTATTTAGGTATGTAGGAGCCAATTATTTTTGTATTAGCGAAGTCCATTCAATTCAGTACTGTTAACCCAGATGACAGTCACTTTGCCTAGATACATATTGGGAACTAACCTATGCAAACCCTAAAACAATCAGGCTGAGTCTGACAGCTATTCAATATTTCTTTCACTCTGAAGAAATAAGTATTTATTTCAAAACCTTTTAGTACATATGAGTGTAGCAAAATGCATTTCCATTCATTTCACTTTGACATTTCACATTTTCTCTCTCTGGGTAGGTAGAAAGGGAACTGGCTTGAGAGAATGACAGGAAACGAACCCAAATGTTTGTTTTTGCACTTTCTTTGGGGAATAAAAAAAAAAAATGTGGACAGTTGATGCAAATCAGTGAAGATAAAGGGCCATAAATTTTACTTTGGCATGCTAAAAACAGGTCAATCAAGCATATGAAAAGTGTAAAAGCAGATAAAGAGTAAAGCATGCACACTTCATCATCTTGCACATTTATCTAATTTCACAAATAAACAAGTTTTTATGAGATATCAAAGTATAAGATTCAAAACACCGTGAATTGTGTTAATTTATTTTATTAAGAAATATTCTTTCTCTCAACCTATTTTTTTCCTATTTTCTTCTTAGAACATAGTAATACTCAAGATCTACAAGTTGCAGGGGATATATAATCAGGCACATACTGTGGATGAAGATGACATGTGAAAATCAGTACAAATTCCTATGAGTAAAATAAATCTGGTAGAGTGTGAGTGGAAATTACTTCCCACACAGGTATTGTACTGGCCTGCATAGTTATGTATATTCTTTTGCTTGCACTTTTACCCCCTAAGTATTTATAAAAAAGACTCAGTAGAAATAACTATTAGCTACATTCACAGGAACTCAGAGAATACATTAGCCTACTCTCAGCAGTCAAAGCTGTGTTTTCTACTTGTCAGAGTGATATCACAGAGTTCAAAAGATTCTGAGTTGTGTTAATAAATTATTACAAAGATAAGATATCTGATGCATACTTGAGTTTCCATCAAGAGCTGATGAGCCTAAATATAACATTATTATTGAAGTATTCAAATAACATTATATGATAAAAACATAACACAAAACAATATATTAAGGTAACTACCACATATTCTTGGAATAAAAATTCTATAATATCTAGGACTCAAAAATCTTAAAAAAAGAAAGAAAGAAAGAAAGAAAGAAAGAAAGAAAGAAAGAAAGAAAGAAAGAAAGAAAGAAAGGGATAAAAATATTAGCTTTTTAGAAAAAGTTTTTTTTTTCTCTCTCTCTTCCTGAATGTAATATGTGCTAATCAGCAGTCCTGACAATTCTGTCATTCCAGAGCACAGTTGTCTGGCAAACATTTAAGAGAACAAAAATACAGGAAAAGAAAGCAGTGCATCTGGAAGTATTCTACCTTTATGCTATCTAGGTATAGCCCTTTCACTCACTTTGTAAGCTTTCTTTTTTGCAGGCTATGTTTGAACTCTGTTGGAGTTAAACTTCATTTAGTAACTATTTCTCCATTCAATTCACTTATTCAGATTTACATTATATTTTCAAAAGCATAAAACAAATTGATCTGCAAAATATAAACATAGCAATCCTCAGTGTGCAACCCAGAAATTATTCAGTGTTCTTTCTGTCAGCAGTCTCTAGCTCAGAGTTAGAAACCTTGTTCAGTAACTAAGACTTATACACCTAATTCTGAATTTGCAGCATTCATTGAAGAAGGATTTGAGATTAATGACTACATCCTAAGATAAATCATTTGAGTAAACCACATAGTTATAAAAATCTCATGTTTCCTATTCTTTTTTGTTCCCTTTGTGACCCAATATTTAATTAGATATATAGAGTGGACCAGCTTTAGCTGTATCCTAAGTCCTCCTATCAAGGAAATAGCAATTCATGTCTGTATCCCTGCTCCAAATCAGTATCAGACAGAATTTGACAATCTGTCTGCTACCTGAGAAGCTTAACGACCTGGCCATTGGGAACCGATAGTAAAAAATGTCTGGTCCCGGCCTGTCTCTCGTGTTATGTTTGATTTCATAGTCATGATCTAAGGAGACCCAAGTCACTAGATCCTACTGTTGAGATAAGCAGGAGAAAGCCTTCCTGAAAATGCCCCTGGGGCTAGGTGTGAGTTTGGGATTTATCAACTCACAGAAGCAGGAGGCAGGCAGTTCTGACATGCCCGCTGGCAGAAATTGTGTCCACATAGCATCACCACGGCAACTGCCGAGTAAGAGCAGAAGTGTGGGAGTTTCAAGGATTTTACCAGCAGTTGGATGCTGCTGAAAGAAAATGGAAATTAACAATCCATGTGAGTATGGTCATTTTTAAAGTGGGATTGAAGTGTTTCTGAAATTATCATCCTATTAACTCAAAACTGGGTTATAAGTTACACAAACAAAATTGCTTTTTTTGTTTGTTTTAAAGCATCATAAATATTTTTAAGAGTCTATATGCTTGATTATATATTCCTTTACAGCAGCTTCATGCCAAGGAAACTCCAGCTGAATAAAACTATTGTAACAGCAGATCAAGCTCTCCATATAATCTCTAGTTCACTTTTCAAAAAAGTTAAGAGAGATGTAGAGGTGGACTTAAAGATTAACAGATGTCAAATCTACAGGCTTTTGGTCCAAACAAGTCAGAATGCCCCTGTTCACTGAATATCAATATTACAAAGACTGAAGAGTCTGTCTGGATTTAGCAAAGCCTACAGCCTTGCATGTATTAGCTGTGAATGCATTCACAGCTACTCGAGACTGCCTGTGCTTTTAAAAACAAGTGCACTTTTAAGCATACAGATACTGTTTACTTTTCTAGAGCTGTGCTACATTTTTAACATATTGAAGGGATGAACTTCCAAGACAACAAGTCTCATCTATTCTTAAACATGTCCTCCAAAAAATGACTTCTCATAAATTCATGACTGTTTTCAACTATGTTGATAACAGTACCATGTCCCCAGAAGTTATTTCGGAGTCCTGACTGTGTGTAGAGCTAATTCCAGTGTCAGAGTCAGTGTCGTTTATGTCCAAATTAGTCACTCTATGAACAAAATCAGGAACTGCAGTGCTGTTACTGGAGATGCCACTGCCCTTAGGCAGCTCCTCGTTTGATGGAAGCCTCACTTCAATGTTGTCTTTAACATGTAGTAAATTAAATTCTTCTGTAAGAAGTTCATATTCTTTTTCCTTCTTTTGAAGCAGCGAGTCTCTGTAGGTAAGTTCTTTCTGAACGCAGCTCAGGTATGAATTGATTCTGAGACCATCTTTCATACTTTTTTCCAGCTCGTACTTTACACTGTCCAAATCTGAGTTTTCCAGCTGAGTGTTAGTAGCTCCTTCTGTATGAACAACATCTTCATTTTTTTCTGAGCATATACCATGTACCTCTTTTTCTATTTCAGCACACAGCTTCTCTATTAATTGTTTGTGATGTTTTAGTCTCTCTTCAACCTGTAAAATTCCCTCACTTTTGCTGAAATAATCATGCATCTCTTTTTGATCATCTGCCCTACTCCCTTGCTGCTCAGCCTCACTTGGGTTGATCATTAAATATGAGTCCTGCACATAATTTTCTCCATCATTGGCAACGCGGTCTAAGTGGAATTTTGCTTCACATTTTTCGATTTCCATATCAAGTTCCTTCATTCTAAGGACTTGCTGATGAATGGTATGATCTTGAGATATGATTAAATGAATCAGTGTCTCCATATTATCTCTGTCTTGCTGAACACTGTCCTGTTTAAGTTTGGCGAGTTTCCTGAAAGTCTTTCTAACAATTTTCTTTTGCTTGTCAATTGGCAACATCTTCATGTAATTTGCTGGGCTGAGTTCCCACTGCTTTTCTATATTTTGTACTACCTTAGCTTCAGCTGTTTTCCACAATGGAAAAGAAAGGAAAGCATCGGACTTTACCAACACGAAGTGCAAATTGGGCTGCTCTTCTCCCCAGGCTTTCCAAAGTCTCAGAATCTTTGTCAAAGGAGGAAGGACTCGCTCAGAGCCTCTCCATTTTTCTACAATACAGTAATCACTAGGTTTTCCAAAGAGGACTTTTTTCTCCCCAAATGTTGCTTGATGTTCCTCAAGCAGAGCCTGAATCACTTCTGCACATGTTGTGCGCTTTGTCAGGCCACATACAATCTTCTCTTCTTGGCAAACCCACACCACAATCTCTCGTTCATTTGAAGCCATGTCTTTGCTGGGAGACCTAAGGGGGGAAAAAAAAAAAAAAAAAAAAAAAAAAGGAGAGAGACCAAATTTAAATTATTTTTAAATGGCAGAGACTTTAGAACACCACCAGTATTCTGATATAACCAATACACTGAAAAAATTCCCATATTCTTGTACAGTACAATATACTTGTTTAAATTACATTAAAAAATACTTTTGGAATTAGTAACAGAAAAACACAGCAATTTCAACTACTGCTCTAACGTTACTACTTGTTCAGCTAACTGTTAATTCCCACAGAAATGTGGCGTCTATTTTTTGTGGACTTAACAAGTGTTCATTAATAATAAGCAAGAAAATTTCCAAGCTATCCTAAGGTAACATAACTTTCAGATCTGCATATCTGTTCTAATCAAATAAATATTCTGTAATCTCTTATTATCATCCAAGCTTCTAAAGGGAAGAATCTTGCTTCTAACTTCACAGCAAAACAGGGTTGAAGATGAGAAAAAGATAATAGAACATTATTTTAAAAGAGTTTGATGGTAAAGACAGAAATATCACTCAGGCATGTTGACTGCACTTCACACCTTGGTGTCATTCGCAAACTTGCTGAGGGTGCACTAGATCCCACTGTTGATGTCACCGATGAAGATATTAACATCAGTTCCAGTCCTGACTCCTGAGGGACACCACTTGTCACTGATCTCCACCCACACAGCGTGCATTGACCACTGCTCCTTGGCTATGATCTTACAACCAGTTCATCATCCACTGAATAGTCCACCCATCAAGTTCATGTATTTCCAATTTGGAAAGAAGGATGTTATGGGAGACCATGTCAAAGACCTTACTAAAGTCCAGATAGATGTTGTGAGTGGCTCTTCCCTCGTCCACTGGTGCAGCTGCATGATCATAGAAGGTCAGGCAAGACTTGGTGATATAGTAAATGTATATAAGTAACAAAATTTCTTTATTTCATATATTTTTTATTAAAACATAAAAAAAAGAGGTCAACAAAAACATAAAACTAGTGGGCTATTAGACCTTTTCTTTTTTAAAGTTAATGCATCAATATCTAGTTCACAGGAAGTGGTTGCAGTTCATAGTGGGCTCTCAAGTTGCTCATCAGAGGTTTTTGATGAACTTTTACTCTTCTGATGCTTCAGCCTTGAAAATAGTTGTTCTGGAGTGTATACATTATCAAAAAGTGATGACATTAATTGTGATTGTGAAGCAAGGAATATTTTTCTCTGGTATGACAGGTCTAGTAGATAGATCAATGTCCAGGATTTTCCTATCCTCTAGCCTCCACATACTTGTTTGGAATTGGTGATTAGCCTCTTGCCTAAAATGATAAAAATAACAAGTTCTCTGAGGCAATGCACATTTCTTTGGATTTTCTGGTATCACTTTCAGTTCTGTTGAATAAATGAGGTTTAATCCAGTCTGACAAGGAAGTCTGAAAATGATAATGACAATGTGCATGGTATTCTAAGGATTCATACCACACTTTCTTTTTTCTATCTAGAACTACTTATTTATAGGACATTTCTAGTTGATTTTTCTTTTTTGAGATTTACTAGGAATGGAGTTTTACTTAGGTTAATAAGATTAATAGGTTATAACCTATAATTATTAAAGCAATATAACTTATTTCATTTTTCTTAAGGATTATACAACAGAGGAGAAAAACTACAGTCCATTAAATTGAACTATGATTGACTCAGCTATAGGTGCCACTCTGACCAGAGGGCAATAACCCTCAAGAGACAGGAGACTGCAAATGAAAACTGAAAAAACCTACCAGAGCGATTTTATTAGTATCGTCATACAGGAGAACTCTGTCAAACTGTGTTGCTTCAAGTCTTAGAATATTCTTCTGTAAAATCTGTGTTTTGTTAGATAGCTCTGAATGATAATTTCATTTTCTCATTTCAATAATTCCTTCTTACTCCAGGATTTTACTGCAATTATTTTTTAAAACTAGTATTCAGAAGAAAAATGCATTTTTCCTAGACTATTTAAGAAAATATGAAAGAATTTATGGCAGACATAGAAAATGGCAAAATGAATTGTCAAAAATAGTGTCTCAAACAATGTTTCCTACTACTATACAAGTAACTGACATAAAAATAAAAGTATACTACCAGTCACTGAATTTCAGCTTGAAAAAGTACTGACAGAAAAATTAAAAAATGCAACAGTGTTAAAAAATTCAGAAATATTAGGCTGGAATATTGAGGCAGTAAGTTCAGAACATGCTTTCCCTGTTGCTTTTCATAATCAAAAAATACATTTTAGGCTATGAACATCATATTGTTTTTTTACCATTCTTCTGAGAGTCTTAATACAATCCGTTCCTGCATGGAAATTCTTCCTGTTTTTTCTCATTCTCCTTTTTCACTGATTGAAATATTGTCTCTTTCTTGGTATTTTCAGCGTGTAAAAGATTATTTGAGTTACACAGAAGTTTATTTTCTCTTTTCCTTCTGGTTCATTTAAAGTTTGTCTGTGAAGACATTTTCTCTCTGTGATACTAGTGCATTTGTGTACTGATAAATACTTATGTTATACACATTTTTGAGATGGACTTGTTGCTGACTTCAGCAGGTGTTCAGCATACTTCTGATGGAAAGATATCATGTATTGAAAAGCAATTTCTACAAGATCTCTGCAAACTTTACCCAAATACAGATACTAAATACATAGCATTTAGATTGTTGTTTTCAATAATTTTCTAGCTGCTCATCCTCCTCCCCCCATCCACAATATTTTTTCAGTTACAGTGCACTTGGCCAGCCAGACTCTACACTGAGCTTTCTTTGGAAGGATTTTTCTTTAGTTGTTCATAGACAAATATACATATTTACATATTTAAAATACTGAAGTCTATAACTAATAGTAGCTACAACAATGGAAAATTTATCCACATACTGGTGCACAGAAGTAGCTTATACATACGGATATATACTTCTCTATGTGTGCATATAGAACTATGTAACTATACTCTCACCTTTTGCAGGAAAAAAAATCTGAACATTATTTTAATTGTAGGATCAAAATAGGTCTGTAAAGTGCAAATTCTGTCATTATTTTTTCCATGTTTGTCACAACATATATTATCCTCATTTTTATTCAGCAGCGTTACTATATTTTTAATTATGCTTTTTAATCTAAAATTAACTAATGTGTCATTTACACTCATACAGTACTATGAAATTCTAATATCTTGAAAAAAATCAAAGGTGTTCTTTATTATCTTCCACTATAAAGTAGTAAACAGATGTGGCACACCATGGTCCTTTTAAGTAAAATTAATTCTGTAATTCTTTAATCGACACAACCCAATTTATGCCCCCCCCCACCCCCCAAAATGAAACTTCAGCTTGTCTGTCACAGCATAACAATCATGAAAGAGTTGTTTTAGGATGCAAGAAGATGCTAGTAGTAGGAATCATCTTTTATTGAGTATGCTTTCCTTATAGAAAATGGAGGGCAGATTCTGCATATATTAAGTACATTTCATCTCATTTAGATGTCCAGAAGTCAGTAGTCAGTATAAATTCGCTATCAAAGCTCCTCCTTGTCATGAAGGAAGAGGAGACCTCCACATTCTAAACCATCTATGATCTTTGGTATGAAACTTCAAATGAAACTGTTTCTTTCTTTTGTTAACTACAAGAGATCTATGTGATCACCTTTAACTAAATACCTCATTTTCAGGCAGCTAAATACATGTGAAAGTAATCCAATCACATTATGGTTCATTATTCAAGAGAAATGTAACAGGACTGTAAGATTATTCTTTTTTTCCCCTGAAATTTAATATTAAAAATAACAATATACAGCAATGAGATCTGCTTTTAGAGGGTCATTTAAATAAAGAGGAAAGCTTATCTTTTTTTTTTCCTTTTTTTCTTTTTTTTTTTTTTCCCCCATCAGAGTCACTTATTGCACGGAAACAAGTGAGAATTTAAACTTTAGAATGGTCAAAAGTAACTTTCAATTATTTTTTGTTTGTCTTCATTTTAAGTTTTGTGCCTCCTACTTTTTGCCTCTCCTCATTATAATCCAAAAAATATATTAATTATATTACAGACCTAGCACAAAATCTTTATTGTGTCTGCAGAAGCTGATTGTTGCATGTCAGATATACACTTCATTAATTTAATATTCAGGCCTACGGGAAGAAAAGTAATACATATAGACAAAACAAAAACACATACTTATGTTGCACAGAGTCAAAATATTAAATAACTTCGGCACTTTTGATATTCACTAAAGAGATGACTGGCATAAAAGAACCTCACATAACAAAAATGTAATTCGTTGCCTTCTTGGAAATGTTAGACCCCTTATATATGGAATATATAGCTTTACAAGCAGTCAAGACAATCAAATAAATAATTTCCTCCTTTTAGAATTATACCCTTATGCCTACATACTCATTTGTCCTTACTAATTTCAATAAATTTTATGTTGGGTCTAGATTGGTTATGCATTATATTGATAAAAGCTTAATACACTGTTTCTAAAATATAATTGACATTAAAATATTTTGGACTTCTTTTTAATGAGAAAAATTAACCCACAGATAAAATTATTCTCTTCCTTCACTACAATAAATTCTTTGCATACTTTCACATCAAAATAAAATGGAATTCCTTTCAGAATAGTTCTATTTTTTATCTACTTGTCCCAAGGAACTAAACTAACTGAGTAACTTAAAAGTATCTAGGTAATGGCTAGAAAATTCAAAGCCAATACATTTTTATGAGCCCCTTACTAGAACTACTGCTTAATGCTTCAATAATTTTAAACCAATATGACAAATTTCCTAGACAAAATTTTTTTTCTTAGTAAAATTTGATCATGGTCATGATCAAAAATGGTACTAGGTGGATTCTCTCAGTCACAGAAATCACTTACACGGAATAAAAATCTGCAGGTGAGCGCAAGTTACACACAAAACAACATATTAATTCTTTGCTGGAAAATGCATAAAATTGGTAATAATTTATAAATTTACTAGC